CACTCACTCACTCACTCACTCACTCACTCACTCACTCACTCACTCACTCACTCACACACCCACACACTCTCTCTCTGCCTTACACATTTGAGCCAAACAATACAATAGGCTAGGCCGAACCCCCTGCCACTGACCAACACACCAATAAACTGCCAAATAGACCACAGCATTTAGTATCAGGGTTCTTGCGGCCTCTTTGCATTCAAGGAGGAGTCCTTGAAACCTTTGAATTTGCATTCAAGGAAAAAATCTCCTTGAATACTCCTTGAACAGGAGGAACCTCCTTGGAAAAACTCCTTGAATTTTGCCAGATCGGACATGAACAGAGCTTTTGTCGGAAAATCGAAACCACGATTCCTCTCGGACAAGTGTAGGCCTATCGGAAACGGGCTTCGGCGTGAAATTCTTGACCAAATCTTCTTGAATTTTAAAAATTTCTTCCTTGAAATCTCCTTGAATTTGGTGGGAGGTTCATGGCAAGAACCCTGTGTTATTTACAATGATCTTTACTGCCATCCCGTTGTGTGGGGCGGCCATATTGTTTGTGTATTTGTGACCAATCACGTGACTTGTGGTTCCAGCTGGAGCAAGGCTTGTTCATCCCCGAGCGAAAGAGGCGGGGCAGGAAGCGGCGATCGGAGAAAATGGCGGAGATGGCGATGGCGGAAGCTCTGGCGAAGAGAGAACAGGCTCGTATCTTGGCGATGTTAGAACCTGGTGAGTGCTGTCAGTCTTCGTGTGGGTGTGTGTGTGGGTGTGTGTGTGGGTGGGTGTGTGTGTGTGTGTGAGTGAGTGAGTGAGTGAGTGCTGTCAGTCTTCGTGCCGGTGTGGGTGTGTGTGCATGCGTGCGTGTGTGCGTGCGTGGGTGGGTGTGTGTGTGTGTGTGTAAGAAAGTGCTGAGTGGGTGTGGGGGTGGGTGTCTGTGAGAGAGAGAGTGGGTTTTCTCCCTCCTTTCCTAGTAAACAATTATCAGTGGGTGATTGGCGGGTGCTCTGGTGCAGTTTGCTCCTTCATTCTTATCATCCATCTATCATCTTTATCTCCCCTCCTCCTATTTTGTTACTCTTGTAACACCTCTAATCTTCGGCACTTATATGGCCTTATTGTGTTGCAAGTGCCGTAAAACTCTTACTAAAACTAAAAAAGACTTATACCCAAACTACAACTTTCTCCTGTGACCTTGCAGACATCCGTATCCCCATGATCAACCTAGAGGATGGCAGCTTTCTGGCAGGGGAGGACGCTCCCCGGAAACGCGACCTTGAGTCGTGGATGGCCAAACACCCGGGCTACATGATCGACGACTCTATACGCCTGTTGGACCCCTACCTTGCCGAGGCGTCCCTGGCCGCTGCGGGCTTCGGCCACGGTGCCACGGGGAGTACGCCGAGCGGCGTGGGGCGGGGGAGACCCCCAGCCTCCTCACGGGCCTCAGCGCCGGGGTCGTCGGGGGTCGCGCACTCGGCCGGAGGTCACAGTCGCGGGGAGGAGGAGGATCCGATGGGCCCCCACGTGGTGCTGAACACGCCGGAGATTACACAGGTATGTACAGCACGCCTAGCTGGCTCGACGCGGCATCGACGCATGGACTCCGGGGGTCCACTCTGCTAGTATTGCTGTCTTCAGAGACATACATGTTTTCTTGGAAAAGGGTTTGCTATCTTTGGCCCTTTTTCTAGGAGAATGGTTTGCTCTGTTTTTCTAGGAAAAGGATGTGCTATCCATGGCCCTTTTTCTAGGAAAAGGGAAGGAGAGTGAGTCATGTTTGTCGTCAGTTTTTGTCTTTCAGCATTGATTCCATGTTGTCTTCTTGTCCCCCCCTTTTATGTGGTCACTCTGTCGTGAAGAAAGAGTCATCATTTTTGTCATGTTCAGTGGTTTGTGGTTTTTTTCTTCAATGTTCTCGACTCGTTTTCTTTGTTTTTTCCTTGTTTTGCTGGACAGCTTGTGTGGTGGGCCTTGTGTGTCGGACTCTGCTAGACAGCTCTGTGACTTTTTGATAACTGTTGAGACCAGCTCTGTGATTCTTTGATAACTGTTGAGACCAGCTCTGTGACTTTTTGATAACTGTTGAGACCAGCTCTGTGATTCTTTGATAACTGTTGAGACCAGCTCTGTGACTCTCTGATAACTGTTGAGACCAGCTCTGTGACTCTCTGATAACTGTTGAGACCAGCTCTGTGACTCTCTGATAACTATTGAGACCAGCTCTGTGACTCTCTGATAACTATTG